AGTTTATATTTGGGCTTTCACAGGTATTTACATCTTTACAATCATTTGACTATGCCTATTCTATTGGAGGCAGCTCCAGGAGGTGTGTGGATTGGTGGATATTTTCAACCTAGCTGCCTGTGTGCAGAGACTAGCTACGCTCATGTATATACGTGCGCTGGCGAGGGTACAGAGTTGAAACTAGACATTGACTAAACATAGAATTATATAGATACGCGGGAACTAATTGCACACGTGCTTTTTATGTGTACCTTGGCGCCAGTTGGTGCGCGTCCGTAAACTCCAATTTATTCGGTGGTATCTTACAAAAGTATATGGATGGCAGAGGTGAAAGGGTGAGAAGGAAACGTATGCACCTCATAAGGTTTATATGCCACAAATTGTGAGCTACTGATAAATAGTTGATTATCCAATAGTATTGTACAATTAGTGATCCACTTTACTAGTTCTACTCTCAGTTCCATGGTACTATCGAAATGTAAACATTCCGGAATGGTATTTGTTCCCACATACAACAACTTGAAAAGTATACACCGGATCGCATCTTAGGCACTCAAAACAAACGGCTGTAAAATCAGCGATCATCGGCATGTGAGGCGACTGTGACAGAGCGATAGCTTTTCAATAACTTGTTGTTGATGCTCATTATGCCAGCGATTTTATCGCCCGGCACTCTCAAGCTGAACATATTCGACGTGATGCTTGCCATTACATTTTTACGACTGTGCTGGTGGAAAGAACTGTGCACACAAAGTACTGACGTAGGGCCTGTATGCCTACTTTGTCCTTAGGATTGTTCAGCGTAGTAGCCGATACCTGTGTGCCGATCGTCGGCAAGAAGGCAACTGGTAGATGGCGCTCCAAAGATTTATATTTATCGCTACCAATGGCCCTTGTTACAGTTCAGTTTGGTCATCTGGGAGCGTTTTTTCTCTTCATTTTCGAATCGATGACCAGTACAGACATATCAGATCGAAGCGCAAATGTGCGGATCGTGTGTCATTTTGCACCGACTAATTAACCCACAGCGATCAGGGCGCGCCAGCCCTCATGAAGATCCGTCGCAGTCAGTACCTGAGCGAGACAAGAAGCGAGAATACAAGGCTTGACGGGTACTGTAGATGGATTTCCTTGATTCCACAGTTATACATACCCCTGTACCGCGGGCTGTCATGCTGTGTCATAAGGGGCGACTACGTCATTAATTGGTCCAGAATTGAACGGCTACACGGTTTTCATCCTGTGTACCCGCAGTCAACCCTCCAATCCGCAGTTGAATACACTCTCGATCGCAATCTATGGTTGCATTTGGTACGCTGCTGCTGTGAACGTATACAAATACCGTCACGTATAGTCGTGTGGGGGTGGAGGAGAACAGAACTCTTTGCTATGTTAAGAGATATGAGGCCACCATATGGCCTTCTGCCAAATTGTAATAAAATTACTACTCAACGTAAACGTCGGTATGTCAAATCGGGTCTTAGAGTTATTTAGTAGTTCCAAGGTTAGATTACGATTGTTGCGGAATCAGTTTGCGAACGCCATATGTATGTGATGCATTCTGAAAGTAGTAGCTATCCGGATATGTGCGCTCTGTTGCATTCGGTTGAACGCACAATTTTTGGAGCAGTGAAAGAACCGCATCTGATGTTACATTCCAGTGATACTGGATTAAACTGTTACTGCTAAAATTAGCTTACCTGACATGTACCGGAGGGAAACCGGTCACACTTAGTTTTGTTCTTGTTGATAGCATAACCACAATAGTCTGCAAATTTGGGCATTCATCAATTTCGTCTGGCTCTGGTGCTTGTCTGTGAGCCATGTGAAGAGTGGCGTTGTCTTGATCTTCGTGTTTGTTTAAGTAGAACTCGAAGGCTACAACAAGCGCCTTGAGCCCGATGTATGGCAATTACTCAGCCGTTTGGATCCAAGTACCAGAAAGTGTCAAGGTTGTCCGCTGCCATCTACTGGAGTGCGACGATAAAGCTCGTCTTCAAAATGCCGGAGGTAATAGTTCAGTCAGAACTGACAGTATTCGAAGATGTCCACTAGAAGCACAGCAAACTACACTCTATCTTCTTGAAACTCGCATCTCTAGTACTGAATGCTGGCGGTCGGCAAATAATTGTCTCAAGCTAAGCACAGAGGAATCAGCCCACTGTGACAGCAAGCTATTGAACGATCGCCAAACTGTGTTGGGTGTAAATCATTGATTCTGCATACCCGAGCTTTGGACTCCGGTGAAGTCTAATGTGAAGTTTTTTTTTGCCTTGAATTCCTGTGACATCTCGATTGTGTTTGGTCGATGAGAACGCCTCGATGCTGTAGTCTGGTCACAAGAACTATCTTTCTTGGCGCAAATTACAATTGAAACTTTATAGATATTGTTGTAATGATTCTGGCATGCTGCCGAATATTTTGGTGGTCCGAATAGTAAGAGATCATCGACATACAGTGATATAGGAATACTTTTTGCTCGTTACTTGCCGCACTAGTTGATTAACACATACAGCGGAGGGGGAATGTTATCCCCATTGGCAACATTAGGAAGCACTACAGCTGGTTCTTGTGGTCGTGAAAATACCAGAGCCGGGGGTTTGCATCAGCTAACGCATTTTAGCCGTCGGGTTTGTTGGCTGACATATCTATATGGTCCGGTCTGCAACGTTCGTCAGTCTCATCAGACATTTTGTCCCGAAGGTTTTCTTCTGTTAATGATCGTGGTGCTTTCTGGACTCAGTACTAACCGATGAATTTTGCATCTCGCTGGAATTCAACGACATGAATACTGAATGCACTACTGATCTCTCCGTGTGGTCAAAACCGAGTAGCGCTAATAGTAAAGAGTGTTGAGTCTCAAATAAGTGAACTTGGTCGGAAGTGGTTTACAGAAGTGCTATGTTTATTAATCACGATCCTAAGTGAAACGAGATTTTCTCTACCATCGGGTAATGTGAAAATACCCGTCTCTATGGTTTCGGACGAGTCTCCACTTCTATCTCGTTAAACTCTTTTCCACTAATCAATCCGGTAATCTGGTCCGATCCTAAAATAATCCCTGTAGAAATACGGTCAGTCTAAAATAACAAGATCGAATGAGATAACACGTTTTGGTCTTCTCGCCAATCTCCAAAATCCAATAAGTCTTTTTCGTTTTTTAACTCTTCTTCAGATGGAACTTTATTTACATTAGCTAATGTATTAACTTGACTTACGTTCTTATGTCTATCTACAAATTAGACATCTGGTCATGAACACTTAGTACTTCTAGTGAAAATTATTCAATAAAGAACAGCTAGAGGTACGTCCCGTGTGATCGAGGATATTAAGGCTCTTACCAAAAGGCAGTCCCGATCATTCTTACACAAGCTACCACTGCTAAATCCTAACTGACTTAAATTGTATCTTAATTTATATAACATAGTTTAAAACATAGAAATATCCATCGAAGTTTACATCTTTTTCAGTTATTTAGTGGTTACTGTAGTGTACTGCTTCTAAACTGTCTAATAATTGCTTACTATCCAGCGACAGGACTACAAGTATTCTATACTACCCCATAGTGGCTAATACTACCCTAAAGTTAGCCACCCGCTAGTTACTATACCTATACTTTAATAATTTTCCTATTCTTGAGCTACTATTATGGCAAAAGAAATTCTAAAGGCAAGGGAGCCGCCAGCTCTAAGCCTGCTAAGCCTGTTGAGGTTCCTGAGGTTACTGGAGACGCTGGTTCGTCTGGTACTGAGCCTGCCGTTGAAGCTGTAGAGGAAGCCGTTTCTGAGCTTGGTTCTGAGGAAACCTCTGAGGATGACTCGTCGGACCCTAAAGCCTTGGAAGTGGATGTCTCAACTGCCGCGGAAAGGCTCGCCAGCGTCCGTGTGTCTCCTAGTAGTGCAGCCCAGGGCCTCTGCTCGCCATCTGACCGCGAAAAGTCAGATATTGGAAAGGCTATATCTCCTGAACAAGTGTAGGAATCGTCTCGAGATCGACGGTTTATTACTACTAAAAGTCAGCCCAATCCACCTATTAACAATGATGGTGGCGTTTCATTTCGTGAATTTCATTGAATGCCTCGCCACTGAATGCCTCGCCACTGAATGTTGGGGCGGGAGACGCGAATTTTGGGGACGCCATAACTCGACAACGAGTGGTTGGATCTTCTCAATCTCGATGCCATTTAAACCCGCAAAGATGAGCTTTTAAAGGAGCTAGCCGCTGCCGCAGCTTCTGACCCTTCGATCATATCCCACGTGGCCGATATTCTTCAAAATATTCCGGGCCGGGCTTCAAACCTGGGACCCACTGGTTTACCAGCCAGCAGGGTTACAACTGAGCCAGATACCGCTGGTGAAGTGGGTAAAACCTCAACATCCAATATCTATAGCTCGGAAGCTACAATCGACCATCCTCTCGACAAACCTAACCCTTAGGCTTACCACCCTCATAACATCGATCCTCATATACCATCTAACCTTGGTAATCACGACTTTGGCAATTGTTATACCTCACTAGAGTACCCACTCTAGCTCTGAAGTCGAAGAAGTGAGAACCAGACAACATCGTCTCAGGCTATTATGTTCTGGAATGCAAGTCCTTGAGGACCGTTTATTGAATGACTCTGACCTTGACGATAAGAAACCGGATAACATTCGCTCTCTAATCGATAACAAGAGAAAGGAGATAGACTCCATTTTGGCACTAGCAGCGCGTAGCACTGAGCGTGAGCCTCGTGAACGCTTCGAACCAAGCTTTATAAAGCAGCTAGGTAACGCGAAGGCTGAGGTCGATTTCTCTACTAATGAGAGTACAGTGGAGACACTGAAGGCCGTTGACCAACTTAAGGATTCTGCCAGCCTTAAGGATAAACAGATGATGAATGCATTTATTTATCTCTGTGAGTCAGAAGAATGGAAAACTATCTTGAAGGCCCATGAGCCCAACTGGAAAGCCCTACCCTGGCGCCA